GGAAAAAAAGGCATATTGCATGCAGTATACTACTATAATGTCCCATTTTCTAAATACTCTCACTGTAGAGAACTATCAACTAGAGAGAGAGAAGTACATGTAAACATGAGAGCTGCTCTATCAGATTTTTTTAGATCATGTGGATTTCTGTGTGATCTGCCACTAATCTACTAACATAGCTCCAAAAATCAAATGATATATTTGTTATCTATTCTTAATGTCTGCTAACAAACTCCTCAGATATGTGGGAGCAGATTTTTCCTGCAGCAAGACCAGGCCTTCTAGCATTTGATAGCGATGTACCGTGCAGGCAGCTTTAATTATTCCATTCCATCTATCATGGACTAGATCCTTCATTAAGCTCATATTCATTATCCCCACTGGCTTTAAGGAAGACCTGCACGTATGGGATCATGCCGCACATAGCAGCTTGGAGGAGTTCTATTTTTAATCAAGTGGTAATAGTTGATTTTTTTTTTAACCCCAAATTTCACAAAGAAAATTACTGTTGTTGTTCCAGATAGTGAAAGCTAGCAAATAGAAATGGCTTAAAGGCAGCTTAGAGTCTATGAGTTTCATCTTGTGGTCTTGGAAGTCAATAAGAAAAGACTTATTAATTAAACTAGAAACATAACTGGATCATGCAGGTGTCTGGCTGTGTGGGAGGATTTGACATTTTGGTCTTGATTTACTAAAGTGTATAAGCATGTGCTTATCTTTAAGTATGTGAGTAGTCTCATTTAAGTCCAAGTGTTTTCTTTGATTTTGGGCAGAGGAAGAAATCAAAGCAGTGGGAGACAGCCCTGGGCCAAATTTATGCTGAAGTCAATTGGACTACTTGGTTGCTAGATACTTAGACCCAGATCCTCTCATTTCAGTGGGAGCTCAGCATCTAAATGCCTTTGAGGATCTCAGGATTAGTTAACAACTCTGCTGAACAGGAACTTTCTGATAACTGATTGAAGTTTAAAATAAAATTTTAAACAATTAATATTAGGCTGTCTGAGCTGCTATTATGATTAAATCTAAATCTGTTGTAAATCCTGATTTTGACAGCCTTTTTGGATTAAAAGCAGTTAGGTGAGTGCATATTTTTAATTACTTTTTTCTGGTAACGCAACATTTAAGTTGCTAGAACAAGTCTAGAAAATACTCTTGGAAATAAATGTTAATATTAATCAACAATTTTAAAAAATCCTATGTCTAATTATATATGAGTGTTTCTTATCTCTGTTATATAGCAGGAACACTGCTCTTCTGGAGACTCATATTTCCATTCACTGAGAAACTTCATGAAGATTGCATCTGAGGCTAAAGCTGCCTTTGTTTATGCACATGCTCGTCTCAGCTGTAGAACTCCATGGAAGTTGCCAACACGGGAAGCATAACTGATGGATGATGAGGACGCGAGCCCCAGGTACCAGAGGTGTATCTCAGAGAGGGAGAGGGTGGAGGGTACAGTGGTGCAGTTGCATTCCACCTTCTTTGATTCCTGCTTCACCCAAAGTTTAAAACTAACTGTGTAGGAGAGGCAGCAGCATTTCTATTCCAGCAGTGCTGAAGGAGTCGATTGATTTCATGGCTCATTATAAACTACCTGATTCCTGCTAATCTCTCTTCAGTCCCCAGACATTATCAGTCCTCTTTTCTACTGTTTAAATTATCCTTTCTTCTGCAGTTTTGCTGTCTGTTAGCCATTCCTAGTGGTGTTTGCTTTCTAGTTCACAATGCCGCAGACTATTTTTGCTCTAGCTAAAGCACTTAGTTCAGGTATAGAAACGACTGACAGTGGAATATCAGAGAGACTGTCAAGATGCTCAAAAAGACTAGGTTTTGTTTTACTATCATTTAACTATAATTACCACAGGATCAATCAAACAATATCTTTGACTATTTTGACTACTTTTGCTTCCCCACAACTTCTACTGCTGCCTGGAGGGCTACCTGTGACTATGCTCCACATTCCTGCCCACCCCCCGCCCCACCTACAGCTGAGGAGGACAGTGCTGCTGGCATCAGTGCTTTCCTTGGTGTGTGTGAGGCCTGTACCCACCTAGCTGTGGGGGCACAGGCTGCACAATAATGTTTGGCACTGTCTCCCACCTCCTTGTATGCTGTGGGGGTGGAACCCAGGGCCAGGGGAGTGCAGGTGGGATGGGGGAACAGCAGGGCATGGTAGGTAGCACCCAGCTAGGGGTCCCCTCAGAGAGGAGCTGATATTGCTGCTGGCTGGCAGTGTCGTGGTCAGCTGTGCCTCATGGCAGGGGCTGGGGCTGTGGAGTTGGCACAGCAGGCATTGGTCCAGGCTCCCAAAGCTGCTGGTGGTGGCTGCAGCTGGGGAGCAAAGTGGGACCGGCTGCTGGATGCCCGAGGGGCCCTCCCCTGGTGATGTGGGGCACGTGCTTGGGCAGGCTGTCCATGCTGCTATAGACAGTACAGCTGTGGCCTGGGTCCCAGGGCATGAGGATGTCCATCATTTGCCACATAAAAGTCATGGACTTACAGACACTTCCCAAATGAGGATTGTGGTTGGTGATGGAAACTCACTGTGCCCACAAGGCCTTGACCTTTAGGCAGCACTGCTGGGCCAACTGGTCATGCCTGTGCTCCTGCATCCAGACTGATAGCCCTTCATTGACATAGGTGTTGGAGTGCCCACCCTGCTCAAACTCACGCTGCACCTCCACCTCACCCCACAGTGCCACAAGGTCACCAGTCTTCTCCATGGACCAGCTGGGGCCCTGGGTGGTGGACACGGGCATGGGCATGGCTGTGGATGAGGAGGACACCATTGTGGATCCCGTGCTGGCTCTCTGGGCCTCTGTGCAGCTGTCCCTGTGCTGCCTGCAGCACCCAGCACAGGGGCCTGGTGTGAGACTGGCAGCCAAGCGGCAGAGGCAATGTCTCACAGCAGCCTGGAGCAGCTTGCAAGCCTGAATGGTACATGCCTGGCAGCCATGTAGCAGTTCAGTGCCAGGCAGCAGCACCAGAGTACAGACAGGCTAGGGCAGCTGGCCTGCAGCCTGACCAAGGGAACACAGGGACCTGGAGTCATCTTAGGCTCCCTGATGGTATGCCCCAGGGCTCTGAGTGCCTGCAGGCTTTTAAAGGCCTGAGGCTAAATGCAGTCTTTTAAAGCCTGAAGTAGGGGCTACCATAGAGGCAGCCCAGCCCTAGGGCAGGAGAGACTCCCAGCCTGGAGCCCTGGGGCTAGGCTAGCCCCCTAGTGGCATGGCTGAGCTGGGAGCAAACTTGTTCCTAGGTCACGTCTACACATGCATAACTATGCAGTAACTAATGACACATATATTTGCTATCTGCATTTGCAGGTAGCAGATTTACTCACAATTAAGCATTTTTACTGTGCAGTAAGCATGTGCATGTGTAGACATATGCACTTACTACACAGTAAACTATACTACTGTGCAGTTAAGTGCTGTGTGTAGACACACCCACTGTGCACAAAGTAAATGTAACACTTCAGTGAAAAAAATGAATGGAAAAAAATTCATTGTCAATGGGGAAAAAACTACATTTTCCCTCTAATTCCTTTTGGTTGCAGTAATGTCTGCTGCTGCTGCTTGCAACCACTGCAGTTTAAAGAAATTTTCTATTTGATATTGTTTCAGTAAGCATGAAAATGACTAATACTAACCCCAGTATTTCTGATGTTTATTTTTCTATTACATTCCATTTATTTTATTATATCCCTAAACTGTCTGTGTGCCACAGATTATTGTCAAGATAATGCATAGCTACATTTAGTGGAAATCAGGGAAAAAGATGAAAGTTTTGGCAGTACGGAGAGGCAAACAGTTTTAGCATCTGCAAAGGTATAAAAGGCAGCTTGGGAGAGCAAGATGGGCTATTTCTGCTAAAATGGTGAGCAAGAACATAATTAATAATGTAGTATATATTTAAATTGACATCATGAGGCTTGAAAATTAACTCTTTGAAAGGTATGGTGAGTGGCAATTTACATGGAGATGGTTTGGGGCCCAAAGTAGGATTTTGTTTTAATTTTTTTTAATCTCCATTTTTATTGAAAATATTCAAAAACTGAAAAAAAATTGTTGAAACCTATGTAGAGACTCAAAATGTGACATCATTTTAGTCTGTTTCCTTCAGTGCCATAAAGAATAGTAAAAATATTTTGGTTTTATGCACAATCATAGCCTTCTCCTTCTACTTACATACCTTAAATTTCCTCACAAGTGACTTCCTCCATTAAGAAATATAGCACTGTATAATCCAAAACCATTACTGCATTATCTAGACCAGTCCCAATAGGATGAAAGCTTCTAAGAGGGACTTCCAGAAAGATCAGACTCCAGGCAAAAAAAATAAGTCCATTATTCACTAAGATATTGGCATTCTGTCTCTTCATTCAACTATTTCTAGCACTGCACATAAGAACTACAGTACTGAAAGTATACAGTATCAAGGATAGCGTGTAAGATCTATGGACAGTTTGTCCCTCCTGCCATTGCCAGAACAATGCTTACTGCAGATCACAAAACGAAACAAAACAAAAGCTTTGTTAGGATATAACCTGAAGCAGCAGGCATTTGCAATATTAAGAGATACATTTTCAAAATTAAGCAAATTTAAAATTGTGCACACAAGATCTGTGCATGAAAATACACTGTGCATGTACAAAACAGGTATTTGTGCATTCATATAACCAGACACTTAGCTAAATTGATACAGGTACCTGTATTACTTTATATGAAATCAGTTATGGGAAAGCTACCAATGGAAACAGTATAGATAAGTGGTTCGACCTAAAATTGATAAATCATTCTGAGATATGAAAATAATTTCATTGCTTACAAGTAAAAAGATTAGATGCTTTAAAAGGGTGTGCTATAGCAGTCTTTATGAGCAGTATTTCTACAATGCAGGCACATCTACACGTTGCCCTACATTGCCATAGTGACATGCTACATCACCGCACGGCGTACTATGGCCATGTAGCAATTACGTGAGTCTACATGTGATCACGTGAGTCTACACGTGAGTCTACATGTGATAGTAATGCACTCCCCCATGTTAGCGTGTCACTATGGCAAAGTAGCAATGCAATCTAACTGCACTGCATGCATCGTACAGTACAGTCTGTTACTGTGCCATGCTTTAGTACTTCCGAAAGGAAATGCTAAAGCATGGCACCATAGCAATGTCACCATATGGCAACATGTACACACACCCTGCCTGGATGAAAAAAAACTTATAATTCATAGATCTCCCAAGTCATCAAAGCTAGTTCCCTGCTGTCATAGGCAACCACATCATATAATCCCTTTCATAAATTTATCAAGCTGCATCTTGAAATTAGTTGGGTTTCTTGCTCCTTCTACTCCTACAGAAAGGCTGTTTCAGAGCCTCATTCTTCTGATAATTGGAGACCTTCTAATTTCCAACCTAAATTTATTCATGGCCAATTTATACTCATTTGTTCTTGTGCTAACTTTTCCCTAATTATATAATTATTTTCCCTGATGTACAGATCACCGTCATATTTCCTCTCAGCCTTTGTTTTGCTAGGTTAAAAAATCCAAGCTTTTTTAGTTTCCTGTCATAAACTACACTGTTCCCATGATCATCCTCATAGCCCAGCTTTGCGGCCTTTCTTTCTTGAATTCATCTTTCTCAAATGTGGAGGTCCAGAATTCTAACCTGTGTACTACATGAGGTCTTGGCCATCCCTTATAGAATGACATTAATAACTCTCTAGCTCTACTAGAAACACATCACCTAACACATCCTACAATTAAATTAACTTTTTTTAAGGATGACATTCAGTTGGGGGCCCATGTTTATCCTATGATAGCCTAATACACCCAGTCCTCATCTCCCTGTTCCCCCATCTACAATGAGCCCCCAGCTAACAACAGAAATATCTGTTGTTAATTTCTAAGCACATGATTGTTCACATTTACATTTAAATTTCATCCTATTTCTATTATTCTGGTGCTCAAGGTCATCTTATTATTTCTGTATGACAGTCCAATATCATACAGATATTTTTGATACTGCCTAAATTTGTGTCATCTGAAGATTATGTCAGCACCACAGTTCTTTCAGTATTTTGTGATAAAGATTATCCACTCCCCACAAATTAATCTTTGAGTTTTGTCTCTCTCTCAGATGTAGTCATTTTAATTTCCATTTTCATATCCTTGTCCCCATTACACATCTTTGCCAACATATCATCATGCTTATTGGAAACTGAGGCACAATATTCATCATGCCATATTAAGCCACACTTAAATTACCTTCCCATCCTCAGTGAATAGTAACCAAAATTGTTCTTTCCTATTCTCTTTTGTATTTATACATCAAAAATGCCTTTTACAATTTCTTTTCTTTTGCCAGGTCTAACACCAAGACTAGGGACAGACATTCAAAAAGCCTGAGCCTAAATTGATTCAATCTTTGCAGGTTACTCTAACCTGGCTAGGCTGAACTGGTTTGTAACCACACAGACATCCCCTCTGGACTGAAAAAATGCATGTACATGCCTGCAGTGGCTGAGGCTAGAAGCCAGGGGGTGATGGAGCAGCCCTCCCTTCCCTTCCACATTGCTGAGCTGAGGGGGCATGGCCAGGCCTCAGGAGGACACTCTGATTGGACGCTTTAAGTAGGGAGGTCAACCTGCACCATCCCAAGCTTCTCCCAGCTCACTGCTCAAGGGACGGGAGTGTTTCCAGCCCCTAGCCCCTCTTCTTAAACAACTTTTTCCAAAAAAGGAAAGAGGGACCTTACCAGCTGACCTGTTGATTAGCTCCAAAAAGCCCTAAGTGAACACTGTCCTGTCTGCCTGTCCCAGTGAAATTGGACACACACACACACACACACACACACACACACACACACACACCTCTCAGCACTAGCTAGCATACTGCAAGTCTAGGGTCTGTGGGGCTGGGGTCCATTCTGTAGGAGATGGGAGAGGGGGGAATCCCTGCTTGAGCAGTGATGGGAGGTGAGGCAGAGGGAATCCAACCAGACCCTGCTGTGTCTGCAGTCTGTGCCAGAGCTCTGGCCAAGAAGCAGAGGGGAGGGGCCAGCCCTGCTATAGAGCAGAGAGTCCTGCCCCGCCCAGACAGCATGCTGGGATGCTGGGAGCGTCTGGTTTAGCTTAAACCAGCAAGGGTTCTGGGATAGACATTGAATAAATTGGTTTGACCCAAATCAGTTAAGTCTGATATTACATTCAACCAGGTTTATCTTAAACTGGTTTCAGCCATTTTTATGTGCACTGAACATCTGTTCTGTTACAGGTTTAAACCAGTTTCTGATTACTTAAACTGTTTTATGTGTAATGTCTGTCCCTAGCCCAAGTGATTTTGGCAGTTTCAGTTTATTCCTACACTTTGACCTCCAAGATGTAGGCTTCTTTGTTGACAAATCCCTTTTCCCATCACAGATTACTTCTAATGTGCTTTTAGAAATGGTTATCCATTCATTGAGGCTTAGAGTTCTTCCCTATAAGTTCCATTTGCTTGGATTGCAAGTTCCAGTTAGATTTTGTAACTTCGATGACAAGAAGTGTCAGATTTCCTTCAGTTATAAATCCTTGAACTCTTAAATCCAGTTGCCTTCACTAATTAGTACCTTTAATTTCTCAGATTGCCATTTGCAGATTGAGAACCTTAATTTCAGATCTATTTTTGTATATTCTCACATTTCAGTTTAAATGGCTCATGACTTGATCATCTGATCCAAGATTTGTTTTCTATGACCAGCTCTTCTATAGGGTCCTAGCTGCTTGCCAAAGCTAAGCTTAAACCCTTCTTAGTTTAATCATTGTTGGATGTGATCACTGAAAGATTTCTTCATTCCATTATTAACAAGGTGTATTCAAATATACAAACTCTTCAAAACTCATTTTGTGAATATTAATGCCATTTAAATACATTTCTCTAATATATGAAAGGACTGTTCAATGATTTTCCATTATTTCAAGTCCCTTATTGCAAATTAAACTTGCAAAGAGAAATTTCAGGTGTTAATGTGATGTCTTGTTTAACATTATTTCAAATGTGTAATTCTCTGTGGAAAACTTAAAATGTGACCTTTTTGTTTCTAGTTCTGGACCTATGTTTTCTTACCTACAGGTGGCCATGAAGCAAACCCAAGAGTCAAGATTCTTGAATTCTGGGAAAGCTGAAATCCCACAGTGAATTTTGTGCCTGATCTCTATCTCTGCAAAGGGCAGAACCAAAATCTCCACCCTCACATTTCCAGCCTTTGAGGCTTGAATTCTTTAGCAGCATCCAAACAAGAGTAGATATTTGTTTCCCCAGGGACAACTAGCAGCAGGACACCTTGTGTCGCTGCTACTTGTCCCCGGGGAATGCCTGTGCCAAGCGCTCTCTGGCATGTGGCAAGTTATACCTGGTGCAGTAGGAGAGGCTGGGACACGGCTGCGGCACCACATACTGCATGGCTGCACTTGTCTGGACACAGCCTTTGAGTCCTTGAGTCTTTATCCCAAGGACAAGGAATTTCCCAATCTCCCTACAATCTGAAAGCCAAATGTCAAATTTCTGATGGCCAAACATATGGAATTTATAATGAATTTCTCTGTACATTGAATACTAGCACAGTAAAAAAAATATAAAGTATGTCAGGGCACTTAATGCATCTGTGGGTATGCTGTGTTCCCATCTTCTAAACTCGGCAGACACTGTAAGTTGTGCTCCACCCTGCAGAGACAGACTTAATCCCCTTCCATGCCCTGTGAGTAGTTCCCTTGTGTCCACTGGAGCTAAACACATGTACAGAGTTTAGCACAAGTGCAAGTCTTTACAGGATTGGGGGCTGTCTGTCCTAACTCGTCTGTAGTTCTGCTTGGAATGTCCAGGCATTGACATTATAATGATCTCTTCAATGCATTATACGTTCAGAAACATATTTCATACTCTGAGGTATTTCTTCACCAAGTAATCAGCACACACTGCCTTCTTACTGAAAATAGTGAGAGAAATCCTCAACTGGTGTAAATAGCATTGCACCATTGATTTCAGATGAACCAAATTGATTTGCAATGACTGAGAAACTGGTCCCAATATGTATTGTTTTACAATTACTCAAATTACACATCAGGCCATCTGCTCTCTCAGGCACCCACTAATACCCAGAAAAAAGGCCTGCTTGATGTTGGCATTTTTCATGGCAGCTGGGGAGTGGAATGAAAAGAAAAGAGCAGTTACCAAGACAGCCTGGGAAATAGAAACAAGATTTTAAAAAAAATGTATTTAGGTTCAGATTTTAAAGGGCATTTACTTGCAGTAGCTGGGGACTGCTTTCTGTCCACGCTCCCCTCCCATGGCCTAAAGGCTAATACAGTGCATTTATACTGTCATTTTGCTGCATTACAAGAGGGGTTTTATTTCAGATTCTAGCAGTGGTTCTGTAGTTCCAAAGCTGTGTCTTAACCTTTCAATCTGCTTATTAATACCCATGTCATGGCTCCTGTTGAGAAAGAGGTTTAGTGTCACTGTCCTCAATCAGTGTCCTTTCATTCACTTTCATTAAGAACCATGTTTTCCTGACAAAGGATAACAAATGGACACTGTTGGTCCCTAATGTGCTTTTTGACTACAGAGCCTGTACCATTTCTCTGAAGCAATGGCAATTATTTGTCATTTTAATATGACTTGGCAAGGAGATCCAAAAACATATGACCATTATTCATCAATATGTATATTTTGTGCTTGCATTAATATTAGAATATCATTATTATTATCCTGACATTGTATGGGCTAGATAAAATTGCATCATGTAAAATGTATTAAACTATGTTCAGCAATATTCATATGGCAAGGCAAAAGCAATTTGAAGACCTGTAAAATGTCTCTGTTGAATGCTGCAATTTATTATGATTAGTGGTGAGGCACCTTTACCTTTGTGCTAATGGAATATATATCAGTGTTTCACCACTGCTAATTGGAAATAGTATAGCTATATGTTACTACCACCATCAAAATCTATATAGTAGTTTCATCCATTTTTCCAAATTGTGAAAATGTTGTGATGTCTAATATTCCTGGCATTGTAAAGATTAAACTGGTGAATGATAAAAAGACCTTTTTTATTAATTTGGGAACATTACAAAGCTGTGTATTTCTGTGATCTTTTCTGATTAGTTGATTCTTTGTTTGTTTTTTTGAGTTATGCACCAATGTCTCTGACCTGGGCTTTAGGAGTGCTATTTGGGTGCAATGATGTTGCGGTTGTTGATTATATCTCCCACTGAGGAAGTAGGTGTGTTCTACATGTGTCAGTGAAGGCATGAAAGCTATTTAATATAGCCAGATAGGAACAGCTTTTGTTTTCCTTGGATGCTGAGAACTGAATGAAAAATGTTTGGAGAAACTTCTTCAGGTCTGCTAATACCCTTTCCTTCTTGTGCTTTCTTATCACACCTTGAGAAATATTAGCCTTTCCTTGCAACAGATGCACCAATTGAGGTAGTAAAGCCACTTGGGGACAATCCCCCTCAGCTGCTCTCAAGCATCTCAGAGTTAGAGATCTTGAGAGCAGCTGAAGTGGGGTGGCCCATAGATGGGCTTAATGGGTGTATTTCCAGGGTTAGTGTCTGTGAGTAGGTGGACAAAGCATATTCAAAAGGGTCCTTGACATGGTCCTGAATGTGGTGGAGAAATGATATAGACATGTGTGTCATATCCATAGCAGCCATATTTTTTCATGAAAGTTACAGTATTGTAGAATTGTGATTAGAAGTAGCATTCTGGAAAACCCAGCACAGACAGCCTGGAGAATACCAGGCAGAAGCAAGGACAACTGTGCTATGAGATGCTAAAGCAAACTTCTGTAATTAAATGCATTTAATATGCAGATATACTTGGCAGTTTAATTATTTATGAATCTTTTAAGGCTCAATTTGTTTTCTTTTACCAATATTTTAGTAGCTACAGCTGGAATGTGTGAACGCAGTTGGAATGAGCTACAAGAGACATCTCATTGTGGAAAATGGTGTTTTGAGGATCAGATCAGCATTTGAATGAACAAGTCTTGTGCGGGGGCTAGAGGCAGGCACAGAGGATACACTAATAAAAAACCCCTTGAGTTAGCTTTCCTGTCTCTTTAACAGTGTGGCCATAAATTGTAGATCAGTGTAGTTGCCCAGCAAGCTGTATTATTTTCACTCCATTTTGCTGGACTGTGTCCAGATAAACACTTATCATACTTGGCAGCTGCTAATAGTGTGTCACCTTCTGCAAGATCAAGCCCTCATGAAGCTATGATAGCTGTCCACAAATATTTGAAAGATGTAAAAAGCCAGAACAATTGCTTAGAGTAATCTAAAGCTAAGGATGTAGGGCTGAAATTGAACAGAGGGAAATATATGGGATGAATATCAGGGTGAAATTCCTAATGTACATTTTGCTAGACTTCAGAATAGACTCATAAAAGGGGTGATGGGAGTCCCATCAACTAAGACATTTAAAACTCACCTGGACAAAGCAGTGAAATTCAGAGGATGACCTTTTCCTGTCACTAATTTCTACGATTATGTACCTTCTTTTCTTGAACACTGTTCAATCAATAGCTACTTTGCTGTCAACCAAGAAAAATAAGAATGGGTGGAGAAAGGAAAAGGAGGCAGAGGATATTCAGCAAAGTACATACCTAAGCCAACAGTTTAAAAACTGAACCTGAAAAAGACTAAGTACAGACAGTCAAAAAGCCCAAGGCTGAATCAGTTCAATCTTTGCAAGTTAGTTTAAGCTGCATAGATTGAATGGATAAGCAAGTGAACACATATTCCCTTTTGATTCCAGAAATGCAGCCACATACCTCAGTGGCCCAATCCAGAAGTCGGGGAGCACTAGAGCATGCCTTCCTGCTTAGCTGGAGCAGACAGAATGGGCCAAGGCTAGCCCACCCACCCTATGAGGGAGGGTTTGCAGGGGAGGTACAAAGCATTCTGGGATGCTGGGAGACTGTGAGTTAACTTGAATCTGAAGGGGATCTGGGACAGAAGTTCAATAAACAAATTTAATCTAAATCAGATAAGTCTGATGCTACATCCATCCAGGTTTATCTTAATAAAATCTTATCTCAGGCTATGGGCTGAGGAGGGAGAGGAAGATCCAGGTAGTGAACCAAAGACTGCGGCGCTGGTGTCATAGGGAAGGCTTTGGCTTCCATGACCACAGCCCACTCTTTGGTGACAGAGGCAGTGAGCTGCTGGGAAGGGATGGCCTCCACCTTTCTCTGCTGGGGAGGAGGCTCTTCTCAGCCAGACTGGCTGACCTGCTCCACCGGTCTTTAAACTAAGCCTGCTGGGGGATGGGGGGACTACCGCCACTGTTGGCCCACTGAGCAACCCTTGCAAAGCCAGCAGGCCAAGGTGCTTGAGGGAGCCCACCCCTGCCCCAGCCCTGGAACAACCAGTAGGCAAGGCAAGGGCCCCCAAGGGGGCACTTGTCTGCCTGTACACAAATGCCAGGAGCTTCAGGAATAAACAGAAGGAAATTATCCTCCTGCTTAACGCAAATAATTTATGATGTCATAGGGATAACGGAGACCTGGTGGGACTTCACCCATGACTGGACCACAGGTATAAATGGCTATACCCTGTACAGGAGGGATCGAGTAGACAAAAGGGGTGGGGGCATAGCTCTATGTCAAGGAGAGCTACGCGTCCCTGCTAGCTGACATTGGCGACCAGGGTGGATGGCTGGAGATCCTCTGGGTTAAAAACCATGGGGAACACGGCACAGGGGACACAATGGTGGGAGCCTACTACAGACGTCCCACCCAAAGTCAAGAGCTTGACCAGGAGTTCGCCAGGGAATTGGCTGAAGCCGCATGCTCCAGGTCCATGGTTGTCATCAGAGACTGCAACTACCCATCGGTGACCTAACAATTGATGGGAAGCTGGGTGACAGCGACCACAAGCTGATCACTGTTACCATCTGCCATAAAGCTGGCAAGACAGTCAGCAATACAGAAGTCCTCAACTTCAGGAAAGCTGACTTTGACAAGCTCAGGAGGCATGTCGGTGAGGCTCTAAGGGACCATGACCCAAAGGGAAGGGGAGTTCAGGAAGAGTGGTTGCTCCTCAAGGGAGCTATCCTTGATGCACAAGCTAATGCCATTCCATCTCAGAGGAAAGGCACCAAAAGGGCACAGCAGCCCCCTTGGCTCTCCAGGGAACTAGCGGACCTCCTGCGGCAAAAAAGTAAGACCTACAGAGAACGGAGGATGGGATGCACCTCCAAGGAGGAATATTCTGCAATGGTCCAGACCTGCAGGGAGTGAACAAGGAAAGCCAAAGCTGCG